TACTGCTTTGAGGACAGTACAATGAAGAAAACAATGGTGAGCCATGTTTAGCCCCTGTTAGGATCTTCGTGAGGACTTCATATTAGTAGTAAGTATCTGTGGGTTTGTCTGAGCTTTGTCTCTCTTCTGGAAGGGTGCCACCCTCTAGACCCCATCCTCACCACCTGGAAAATACACCTCTCCTTTTGAAGATTTGCACTTCCCTCTACTTCAATCTTACTCCTCTAGTTGGGGCTTCCAATTGTGAACCCCAGGCCATTAGGATCTGTGACCGTATCCTGGTCTATAAGTGTTCTTCTTTGTGATTTTAAAAATTGAAACTAAAGGAAAACAAGTGCTTTGATCTCTAGAAAACTTCATGGAGAAAGCAGATTAAAAAGGATAATTTTAGTGAGAATGTAGAGAGTAAAGAAATGAGCATTGTTCCAGGTCCTGGTTCCAGCAGTCACTTAAACCAGAGCACTGTTCCTCTGTGGCCAAATCTACAGCTTGCGTATGGAAAGAGAGGGTTGTGCACTTGCAAAAATACAAAAAACAAAGCAAAAAATAAACAAACTATCCATCTTCCAACTCAAGCAATATCCATGATCTCATTTAACCTTCCCAACAATTACATATAGTATTATCTTTATTTTATAGACAAGGAACCCGAAGCTCAGAGCTGAGACGTAGCATGCCCAAGGCATCCAATTAGTAGCTGAATGGGGACTTAAAGATGGGCCATAAAGATGCCAAAATGCAAGCACTGTGCTCCCCTGCCTCTTTCTACACTGTTCTTGGGGTTTCCGGGACACCAATTTGGCTCAGTGACCGTAGACAACCCGTAATAAGTGCGAGTCTTCTCTTCATTAATAAACATAGATGCTATTGACCTTGATTAACTCCTGGGGGTGGTCCAGGCTTCAGTTAAATAATCTTGATAAAGTGGTCTGAGAATATAAGTAGGAATTATTTTTTACACCACACTATTCACCACTGGCCTCTTGCAATGTCAATAATTAGGAAGCAAAAATGGGGCTTTTTAAAAAGGATTCTTAAAAAAAAACAACTGCATAAATATTTGGTATTGGTCATTTAACTGAACGCTGATATGTTTGCTTTAAACACCAAAATATAATTGGTAACTCAGAAGTAAGTTTCCTCAGAAGACTTTAAGTTGAATCAAAAGATGAAGTGTTTCTCCATTGTTCTGCTTTTGTATATGTCCTTTTTTCCTATCAGTTACATTTTTCACTGGGTACATCTTTGGTCTCAGCACTCGCTTATAGCTCTTAACGTGGCCATGATTTTCCAGGCCAATTATGAGCACACACCCGAGAAGAACCGTGAACTTAGAAATGGAGAAAAACAGACACGTACGATCCAGGAGATGATGGATTTGATTGTGAAACTAATTTTCTCAGAAGAAAAAACAGACATCTCCTGCAACATAAGGGTGCACTCAGATTTGTTTTTCATATTAGTAACTTATTTAATATGGCAATGGGCAAGAGGCAATCCATTAAAAAGCAATTTTCCTCCTACTACAGGGTGTTTCATCATTTGATGTCTAGCACTCAGTCAGAATGCAGCGATCCTTTAATACTTTATGAGCAGAAAACACCATCATTTGGAAGTGTTGACTTCAGAAACATGGGAGCCTTTTGTTAGTATTGCAAAATGTGCAGAACGGCCTTTGCAGGGGATGCGAGGCAGGGGGTCAACCTGAAAACTTAAACTGTCAAAACACTGGAAAAATTGAGCTTTAGAACAGATTATGGGCATGTATGTGTGTATATAAAATGACTTATAACTAACAGAAAAAGTATCAGTCCCAACTTGTTCTTATGCTTTCTGATGCGGAAGCTTCTGAGGGACAAGGACCTATTGGGTTCACCTTTGTACCTGCAGTGTCAATCAGAGTCCCTGGCACATTGTAAGTAATCAACAGATTTTTATGGAACAAATGAATACATGCATTTGTCATCTTAGATGAAGGGAACCTACAGTGAGTATGTCCGGCTTTAACTGTCCAAGCCCAGCCTCGCTGTAGGGACCAGGCCTGACCAGTACTGAACAAGTTGTAGCAGAATGCTGGGAGCCGTCTTTCCAGCAGAGGGTGGGATATAGAATAATCCACAGTCCAAGAACAGCATCTGGGGTACCCCCAGGGGCCCCCAAGGTGCTTGCCTTCATCCTCACTCTGTTATGTCATCCCATAGAACCTGGCTTGACTACCAGGTCATCAAACGTCTGGGGGGCTGCTCTACACCAGCCAGCAGTCAGCCCATTCCTGACCCACCCCTCACCCCCCAACTCCCAAAGCTCAAAGCTAACAATTACCTGAGTGGCACTGTCTACTCACGCTCTGCCACCACGGTTCCTCTCCACCCACTGGGGGGGGGGCCCATCGATCCACATTTATCCTGCCCTCATAGTACCTGAAATTTGGCCTTTTATTTTCCAACTTAGTCCCCTTGGGTTGGCTATTATCTGTCCCCAGGGTACTCCTCTCACTCCTACGACAGCAATTTCAGCCAGTGAGGTTACCTGCGATCAAGCCAAAACAGGTACAACTACGGCCCTGTGTCGCTTAATGATGGGGACGCATTCCGAGAAATGTGGTGTCAGACAGTTTTGATGTTGTGAGAACAGCAAGCACAGTGTGCACTTACACAATCCTAGAGGGCATAGCTGGCTGCACACCTAGGCTACAAGCTTATACAGCATATTACTGCACAAAACAACACAAGATTAGACCAAGAGGATGAGAAAATGATGCCATCAAGAGACGTGGTAAACACCACATGTATGAGGCTACTGCCAGCTTAACACAACATACTGTATAGTATAGTAGATATATAAACCAGTCATGTAGTCATTTGTCATAGTTATCAGGTATTAGATACTGTACATCATTGTATGTGCTACACTTTTATACGACTGGCGGCCCAGTAGGTTTGTTTATACCAGCTTCACCACAAACTCGTGTGTAATGTGTTGCGCACTCACAACGTTATAATGGCTACAGCATCACTAGGCCACAGGCATTTTTCAGCTCCAGTATCATCTTATGAGACCACCATCATACATGCAGTCCGTCACTGACCAAAACATCGTCTTGACTGTTTTGACTTGAATGCATGACTATATTTCAATTATCACCCCGAATACTACCCATCTATTTCTGAAAAAATGTGGGGACGTAAGAGCACAGTGACGTTTGTATGTTACCCAAGGACACAAACATGGTCGGTGGCAGAGACAGAACCCAAGTCCCCTTTATTCCCAACATTCTCCTTGTCCTCCACCGTATGTCTGTTACGTGTTAACTTTTAGCAGGGCAGACGCATGTCCATTGGGTGGAGAAGGGCTGGGAGCTGGGTATGGCAGTCAAAGCACAAGAGTACGTACCTTCATGCTGCCATCAAGATGAGAGATGATAGCCAATGCAGACCCTTGGGGAAGACGGAACTCGGGGCAGGGGGGGCGGGGGGCAAAGACAGGGCAATGAGGGGCAATGGCCTGGATGCAAGAAGTGCCAGCCAAGGAGATCGGGATAGTTCCCCAGTTTTAGTACATGACTTCCTATAGCTGCCCCCATAAAATTGAGGTTAACATGAAATTGTCACAGTTATCAGACTGAGGAATTCAGTAGGATTTGCTTGACTTGGGACTTTGAACCTTCAGCTGAGTACACAGTAAGCTACCCAGCACACGCAAATCTCAACAAGTTACTCTAACGAGGAGCAAGAAGGAGAACTCACATCAGGGACCCGGGTAAACGGAAATGTTCACACTGGTGATCAGTGAACCTTAAGCAGATTGACATGGAGATCTCTAGGTCAGACGGCTACTCTACTTGTGCAAAAAAATGCCTGAATTTTGGCTCATAAGTAATGAACTTGCAGGGCAGGTTCCTTGTCAACTCCGGTTTCCTTCCCCCACCCACCCACACTGGAGGAGGATAACAAATGTTGTGCTTAGTCAAACAGGCTCAACGTCGTTTTTTTTTCCTTACTAAGTTCTGAATTTTCTAGTTTCCTGGCACCGTAGTCAGCTCTACCCTGTAAATAAAACATAACCCCCTTTCCAATTTAATCATCAGATATCTTCCCATTAATCATTTCAGACCTTTTTTTTGTTTTTAAGCTCTCAGGCATGTGACTGAATATTTATGTTCCCACCATAATGCCAAACACCCAACATTTCTCAGGTACAGTCTTCTCTGGCGCCCACGTTATTAAGCCTACAAGGAAAGATTTATATGTGTGTCAGCTCTATTGATGTTGGACGGAATGGAAGCAGCCATTCTAAGGAAGCTCACCCTTGGCAGTGATTGCAGATCAGGTTCAATCAGGCTCAGTCCAACAGGTTAGAGCCAAATTATGCTAAGGAACAGAAGGCAAGGAAATGATCGCACCCTCATTTCCTGGGTGTCTTCTCTGAAATTTTGTAATCTAAGTAGGAAAAAGAACAGTAGGTATAGCTCTGATCATATTTTTCAGTGATCAGCTACCCGTTTTCTTCAACAATGCCTTCCTTCTTAGAGAAAGCATTTTAAACAAGCGAGATACTGGGAGGAAGAGGTTTCATTAAGGTATTCAGTTTTCTTCTCTATAGAGAAAAATTGTTTCAAAAGAAAGAGAAGAAAATGATCTACTAGTATGTCAAAAATTGGAATTATAAAATAAATATATATAAAAAAACCCCACAGATCTTTTTTCCTAACAGAGTATTAAATGCAAGGCTGTTTTAATACACACTCGTTTTTCTAATATTTGGAATTCAGTCACAGTCCTTGCCTATTTTTCCATTCTTGTGGGTTTTAATAATGTTTATTCCCAGAGCAGACATGCAGAAATACATACGCTGGAAACCTGCGCCAACGAGCGTTCAGTCCACGTGGTGCCCATGCCTAGCTGTCAGCACCTTGGGGATTCTACATGGAGGTCGGGGCACAACCCTGGATGCTGGTCTCTGCCCAGCTTTATACCCACGTGGGAAATAAGTGTACTTACGCAGCTCGCCCACTTTCAAGATCTCACACAGCATCTTGGTCAGCTCTATGCTACTGCGGCCAAAGGGACATTCGTGCTTATCTTCTCGGCTACTATTCTCAAGCACGACCTGTCAACAGAAAAGGGAACAGATCACCAAGGGAAGTGAGCTCACATTAAACATCAACGATACTGACACAGAGAAATCAATCCTCTCCAGACCATCAAACTCAGGCTCTGGGGCCAGGACGAAACCGTACTCTAAGTATATTCTCAGCATATTGAATCTAAAACTCCTACATTTGCCAAATATCTTAGAACCTTCTTAACCCTGTAAGAAGATATTTTGCTTATTGGTTTCCATTTACACAGAGATCCTTTGGAGAGAGTTTTTCAAAACAGTACAATAAAGCATTTTTTACGTAAGTGACAAAATTACTCTCGTGTCCTCCCAGACGTGTCTTCCCTTTTCTGGGAATAGTAACTCTTCTTCTGTGACTTCAGCTCCTGCATTTTAAGCACAGAGTTCCCACAGAGGTTTCCCTTTTCTTACAAGATCTCATCCCTGGCCTTTGTTGATTGGACCACACCTAAGGGTCACATGACACAAACTGGACCAACCAGAGTCCTTCCCTGAGCCTTAGTGTAGGAAAAGGGAAAAACTGGCCCAACTCTATTGACAGCACCCAAGAGGCATGAGTGCAGGGGCCACCTGAACATAAGACTGCAATAAAAAAAATTTAAAAAAAAAGGGAGGAAGAAAGCCAAAATGCAAAGAAAAACAGTGAGGAGGAGCCATGGGAGCCCTGGGAACACTCGAGTGGCTGGTCCCCCTTGTTCCTGTGGCAAAACTACGTCCCTGTCCTTAAGGCTGTTTGCTCAACCCTTCCTCTAAACATCTTTCAGCCCCCCAATAAACCCTGCTCTTTCCTTAGGCAGTTTGAGGTATTCCTGAGACATCTAAGGGAGCCATTCTACCCATGGATTAAACAAAAGAAAAGCAAAACAATGACATTATATTTCAAAGTTACTAAACTTCAAACTCATGTCAATAAGAGGAATAACCAGCTTTTCCGTCTCTGACGCCACCTCTGACTTCCCCCGTGGACTGTCTGCTACCTCCTTAAAAAATTAACTGGTAAAGAGTAACAGCGGGGACCTGGGAGGAGAGTTTAGATAACCAGGTGGCTACTGGGACTCAAAAGGGTAGAACGCGTTTGCCATGTCAAGGTGTGTGAGGAAGAACTTTCCAGGTAGAGGAGCCCCCGACTTGAGTAGGGTGTGGCGGGCGGGCCAGCACACTGCCTGGTGGACAGTGGGCAGGGGTCTGGAGTTGTGCATGGCCATATTTTGGGTTCCAGGACACAGAGGGAGGCAGAGCAAGCCCGAGGAGCCTTAGAGGTGGGCTAGCCACTGCCCAAGGGCTGTGTGGGGTGTCATTCTAAAACTCTGAAAGGCTAACCATTAGGTTTAGACAGGAGAGTGATGTGGCCTGATTTGTTTTGAAAAAAATCTTCGGTTGTGGAGAGGGCACAGTTGGGAGTAAGAAAGTGTCCCTGACAGAAACCAGGGCAGCTCAGACGGGCCTGCACAGTCACTCAGCACATAGTAAGTGATCGAAAAAGGCAGAGAGGCAGGAAGAAGAGACGAGGACAAGGAGGGGGAGGCTTTCAGGAAAGAGAGAGAAGAAGAAGACTATTTGGAAGGAGGAAAGAAGGAAGGAGAGAAGAAAAAAGGGAAGAAGGAAAAGTAAATAAAAGTGCTGATTTATGGTTACAGACAGGGATCTAAATAGTGAAATCATGTCAGAGAGAGGGCAAATAATTTAAAACCAAAGGAGCAGGGTGTTAATAAAAATGGTTTCCGATTATTTTTTGCACAAACACCGAAACAATCACACACGCACACACACACACAAATTATTGTATGCATTTTGACAGCCCCCAATAACAAATGAATTGTTTCCAATTGGGGACATCCCTTCCAGCATTACGTTAATACCTAGTGGTTTGCATAGTCAGTCTCCTAGTCCACTTGATGATCACGGGCAGTTTCCGCAGCCTTTATCATGATCACCATATCACTCTCATGATTGTCCAAGAAGTCAGTGAACCATCCTGTTCTGTGGAGCTTTTCAAGTTTGCAGCCTGTGCTCCCATACATAACTACACACTGAATATCATCATGTACATAGCTTTTGCTGTCCTTGGGATGTATGGTAAAAAATTCTTCCTTGCAGTTTCTTTAGGAAACTAAAGAGACTGGGTTGGTTGTTTTTCTTTGAAAAAAGCTAACTAAATCCCTTCTCTTAGCCAGCATGGACCAGCCCCTGCGAAGTCCTTGAAAGTCTCATTCCCTCCTCAAGGTCTCTTCTGGACAAGGTGCCTGGGCACAAAGTCTCATTTGACTGAGCCTGAATCACCCTCCTTGTTTTAGGAGAATCCTTTCTGGTTCTCGCCAGGATTCCAATTCAGAAAAGCAGGAGGGGAAGACATCTAAATTCCTGTTCATCAGGGAACCTTTATTTCTCTTTTACAAAGCATGTGTCTGAGATAGCCATAACACAGTCTCAAGGAGCAAAACCTCCTGGTGACGGGGAACAGGATGGACAAAACAGGGAGAGAAGACGACAGAACACAAAGAAAGACAGGAGACAGGTAGTTTTCAGCCAGCTGCCAGCTCCCAGGGAGGACATTTCCCAGCATTTCACATTAACATTCTATTAACATTTCATGAGCACATCAATATTTAATGAGGATGTGATCTGCATACACTGTAGGTGGAATTACTGCAGCCAATAAAATGTTCCAGAATTATTTCCAAGGCACAGTTTATTAGCAGGCACTAAATTAAAGAGTAATTTAAGCGATCAATATGTAAATCAGCTTGGAGAAGCCCTATTCTTTTATTCTTTAATGTACCATCCATCTTATCATATTTACCCACCTAAAGAAAAGTACACCCTCCTTCTTAACCCATCTCTTTAGACAAGGTAGACGCGAAACTTTTAGAGTGACCTGTGTGGGTTTTCAGGTCAACATTCTTACAGAAATATTCTAGAAAAGCCTATAATGATGCAGCTATTACTATGAGACATAATTCTTAAACTGGACGGCTTTTTAATTTAATACACTGATATATCTATATTCAATGCCAACATTCTGGTGTTAACCATGTTCACCTAACACATTTTGAAAAGTTTCATTCAGAAATATCGAGGCATATTTTTCATCTTTATGTTGTCCTCACTCCTCAGCTTTAAGAGCAAACATACTGGAATAGAAACCACGATGGATGGAGAACTAAAACCTATTATCACTCATCTTAGAACATGTTGTACCACAAAAGAAGTTGTATCCGTCTGCATGTTTCATAAAATAAAACACAGGATATTTTTGCAATATTAAGTATAACACATTTTATAAAATACTTTATAGTTTATAGGATGCATTTGCACATGTTCTATCAACTGATCCCCAACAGGTCCATACAATTGATAAGGCACATATTATTATTATTCTCTTCAAAATGTTGAAACAAGGGCTGGCCAAGTGGTGCGTTGGTTAAGAGCTCGCATGGGACGCCAGAGGGCCCCGGTTCAGATCCCACATATGAGGGCCAGTGACACTGCCCTCCACAGCTAAGATGCTGAACAACAGCTCAACCTGGAGCTGGGCTGCCGTGAGTCATTGGCCACGGCGTAGGCTGCAGCCCCTGTGGCAGTGGGTTGCCATGGGCTACCGTATGTAGCCAGCAGCCAGTGTGAGCGGCCAGCAACCACCGTGAGCGGCCATCCAGAAGCCGGCGACTGATCTGCCTCGCCCCAGAAGAGTGCAATGATGGTGCCAACTTGGGCCAGTGAAGCAACGTCCTCCACAACTAGACTGAAAAACAAAAGGACAGCAAGTTGTCTGTTCCCCTTTCCCCAATTCCCCAGTGCTGTTCCTATCCCCCAATTCCCCAATAAAAATCTTTAAAAAAAATAAATGTTGAAATAAGAGGAAGAGGTGACTTGCTGAGACCATAGAGCTACCCTAGGCCAGTCCTAGAATTTAATTTTTAAGGTCTTCCATTTCCAAATCTCTTCCTGCCCTGCTATAGTTTACAGATTGCTTTCACATACTTATTGCCTTCAAACTCAGTGGATTTCATGTTTAAAGAGGCTAAAAGGATAAGAGGCGTTGTTCTGTACACCTGAAATGAATAATAAAAAAAAGAGCCTAAGAGAACTTTGACTAATGTTCTCTAGCTAACTGAAGCGGGTCTATAAATCGCAGTCTCTCCTGGACAAAGGTATGAGGTTCTCTCTTGTCTCATTTATCCCTGAAGAAGAGTACTGATCTCTCAGGGTGAGTGACCAAGGCTGCGGCAGAGAGCCCCCATAGGCTTTCTTTCCATAAATGTCGAGCTCCCCTCTGAATGCTCTGTGCTTCTGCACCGTATTCTCCAGTGGTACAGGTCATGCACCCATTTGGCTTGGGTGTGACCCTTAGATGCTGCGTACAAGGCCAGGCACGCTCCTGCACTGTTCTTTCTCTGACACCTGGGACTGCCCTCGCCATCTCAGCCCCAGCATCCCATTGCTGGCTGGTATCCAGGTGGCTGGCTGTGCCTGACACACTGTCCTCCACTTTTTGTTGAGCTGTCTACCTCTGGGGCAAGTCCCGTCTTTTCTGCTTTCCCTCAGCCAGCCTTGGAGCCTCAGGGCCTCTTCCATCATGTCTCATCTATGCTGCTTTGACTCCAAAAGAGGATCACATGAAGCAGAGTGGTCTCCTCACAGGCCACCAAGGACAGTGTGGAAACTTGTACCAAGTTCTCTCCAAAGAGAAGGGATTGTCCGTCTTGCCCCAATGCTGACACAACGCCGCTAAGGGCAGCACTGATGATATAAAACGAGTGTGCTTTTGCACAAAGCAGTCCACGTCTTTATGAGATGGACAAACGTTCCTAAAGCCCGCTTCACAGAACTGTTGTGCATCTTAAGTCACGACACCAAGGCCAAGTGCCTGGAACAGACTTGACCAGGTTGGTGCTTATTTTCTCTTTATTGCCTTCCTCCTTTCTACTCCTGTGTGGCTCCTGGTCAACATTTCCTACAACGCTTTTGCCAGCAACTAAAGCAAAATC